CGTTACTTCGGATACCAGTATGGAGAATGAAGCATTGCTTTCGCCTTAAATCAGGAAAACCAGTAAAGAAAAAAATTCATATGTTTTCTTCCTTTATCATTTAGAGAGCTTCTTGAAGTGAACCAAATTGTAATGGAGCTTATTGCTCAATTAAATTTCTGTTAATGGTTTCCTGTATAATACTGTTCAAATGCAGACTTATGATAAAGCAAGAAATGCAGTGGCTCTTGCATTAGGTCCAGTTGTGAAGGCTCTGGTTGATCCAGATGGAGCATTGAGGGATGTACGGAATTTGGATAGTGTAAGAATGAAAGCTATCGTTATCCTTTATTTTGGTCTCCATTCATTTGTGTACCTGTGAAAGTTGTCTGATTGCGTTTTATTTTTTCTTTTTGGTGGGGGTGGGGGAGTTGTATTCTCTGAATTTTTAGTTGAATCTGGGAATGTTCCGCAGTTTATTTTCTCCATGTTCATAATTGAATTATAATTAGTTATTATTTTTCACACAATTGTTGTAACTTTTAAAATATTACTGGTGAATTACAAGACTAATGGACAAGGATACTTGTGTTTGATAGGAAATTGAAGCAAGCTTTGGGATTACTAATCTTCTTTATACTCCTGATGCAGATTTCTCTTGCTTTGCCGGCCTAGCACTTACTTCTCCGGAAGATTACTACATTGAGGGACAAGGTTCACTCCTCCAGTAAGGAAAACATGTGCATTATTGTTATCACATTTTTCAATCTTTAGGTTTTACAAGTAGAGATTACATATAAAATAACCAGACACCCTCTTTATTTTGAAATTTTCAAACCAAAATTTGTGAGGTTTCTTGAAAGTTCATTTTGCATCTCAGTGTGTGAAAATGTATTATAATGTGAGATTAATGATCCTTTGCCCATTTTTGTGTATCAGAAATATTTGCACTTTTATGATTTTGAACTTCGCGCTGATGCTTCTTCGTCTTGCAGATACATTTTGACACCAGGTGATCCTTACATACCTTTACCAAACGAAGAAGTTATAGCAAGAGTGACGAAACAGGTAACTAGCTTATTAAGTGTGTTTCATACATTAAGCAAGTTCATCTGCAGTTGGTAGAAATCGATAAAACAATCAAATTCTGAACTTTGAAATTTTCAATTCAAGGTTTTGGCTTTATTCCCATCATCCCAAGGTTTAGAAGTCACTTGGTCATCTGTTGCCAAAATTTGGCAA